GATTTATCATCTACGGGTTTATATCGAATTAATTTGATGGCCTGCTCCCAGTTGGCTTGTTAGCTCAATTGGTAGAGCGCTGCACTAGTATCGCAGAGGTCAGTGGTTCGAATCCCGTACAGGCCTGAAATTTTTTTCAGGTCTGATTTCCACTATTGCTCAAATAGTGCTTTACTGCGAAGGATCGTGCTCATATACGTCTCATAACCGCAGTTCACACATATGTTTCATATGTTTGTTGTTGTTTGATTATCTTAAGTCAGTACTACGATCGGTGAGCAACTGGTGACCATTAAAACCTCCGTATTTCTCTCAAGCTATTGCAATACCCAGAAGTTTTTTATAGCAGAGGAAAAGAAAATACCTCTGCGTAAAGTATCAAGCATTTCATTTTACTTGAAGCTCTGCGAAAACTTTTAAACTTTTTTTTAAAAACTCAAGAAATTTGCATAATTTTTCTCATTAGCATATGACATGTGAAATAATGCTATGGAAAATGTAACAAAGAAGAGTCACACTAATTATGTTGTCATTGTTTAATAGTGTATACATAGTAGTTTGTGAGAATTTTGTTTCACCTGGATTGCTGTACAATTTGCCAGAAATATTGTCATTGAAAAAAACACAAAATTTGAACATATTTCAGTGTAGATTTGGCTGTTCAAGGGTACCGTACCCCCCTGAAAAACAAGAAAAGAAAGAAGCTTGAACTAAACTAATACCATATCTACCAATACTTCACCATGTTATGCCTATGTGGAAAGTTTGAGCTAATTCTGTGATGTGCACTGTAGCACCTTTGGCATGGTTTTCTCATGGTTAGCCCCTTAATTATGTGATCAACCCTCAGGCTGTACTTCGCCTCTTCAGCTAACAACTTCAAACTCGTGCACGCCTTCAAGTATCTAACAAACTCTTCTTACTACTTCATTTTCCACCTTTGGTTTTACACTGAAGTAAGCTTCTCTTTATTTACAGCGTTATCCTCCTCTGCTTCATCAGAGTTACCCTATGATGATTTTTGGGAGTTCCCCTCAGGCTTGGGTTTTCCGGAGTTTCCTTCCCCAGATTCCCTGGAGTCTCCTTCCCTTTGATCTTCGTCGCACACATCCTTCAAGCCCTCAGAGTTTCCTCCTGCAAGGTGCTCTAGTTTACCCGGGTCAAGGTCTCCATTCTCCAGTCCTTCATGGCCATCCCTTTTACCTTGGTCAGTATCCTTTATCTGCTGTTCTTCTGGACCAGTCGGGGCTCCTTTTTCCGAGTCATCAGCAGGCCCCTTTTCAGGGTCGGTGGTTTTCTTTTCTCCCGTATCTTCGTAGTCGTTGCGTGGAACACTCCAACACTCCATCTGAGCAAACACCGTCGCCTGTTGCTGAACGTGGACTGAATCACTTAAGAAGGAAAACCACATAGCCCGATCTTCAGGTACTCCATTGCTCATCTTTTCACCTGCTGCCTTCATACTGACTTTACCATCCTTATCACAGTACAGGTACTCATCGTTTTTTACGGACTGGATTGTGTAGTACTCCTTGTTATTGTTGACTGCTCTGACACGGAACAAATATTTAACGTTTCCGGAAAATTTTTCAAGTTTCTGAGGTAAAAAGAAAAAGAGGCACCGTCCAATGAACAAGAGCAAAATATTGCCTAGAATATCACATAGAATGACTAAGTACATTTTCAAATCGAGTAAGTTATGTGAAAAATAATTCCCTCCAAGACGATTTAATTGTTGTCAAGCCTTCAGTCAAATGAGCGACGTCATAATGTAAACAAAGGTAGCTTTATCCTTTACCCTTCCAACATCAGTATGCATTTTCTCCGTACTGTTTTCCAAACATTTGGTATGGTACTTGAAAGGAGAATTTATTTGACGATCGAGGGCTACGGTAGTTGGCGATCATTTCCTATATTCTCTATCAATGTTTTCGAACTTTGTCGAGGCAAGGCACCGACTGTTCGTGGCTGGCACTTTTGAGTCGAAATTCCAGTTATTTTCTTTCGGATAAGGACGAATAAACCGTAGGTCCCGTCTCCTGCAGGGTTAGGGGTAGGAGACGTTAATTTCCCACGCACGAGATCACTGTGTGATGGATGTCCTCCCCTGGGGTGGGATGGGTGGGTTGCAGTCCGTAATGCTCTGTTGAGAGTGAGGACTTAAACTGGTAAATAAACAGTGAAACATTTCTTTGTGATATGACTTACACACCAACGACAAAAGATAAAGATAAGTTGGTATGTTAATCTCTTTTACGAATGTCCGACGAATGCAGTCTTCGGTAATATTTAATTAGATTTTGGCCCTGAAAATGCGCCAGAATGCATCCGTCTTTACCTTACCAAAAAGATATCCTTGGGAGATCCCCTTCATCTACCTGTTTCTAATTTTTTTTTGTAGAATTGATTGTCTTATTAAGATATACTAGGTATTAAACTTACACGAAAGATAACATCAGGGTGGGCCTTCCTTACAGCCAGGTAATAATTATCCTCTCCAGACCAATACCTAAAGACTTGATGGCTTGTGTCTTGGTCTTTTTCCATGAGGAACGCTGTAAATGAAGCAGATGAGTTCGGAAAAGCTCAATGGAAAAAATTTAGGTGATCTCTCAACGTGAGGCTTGTAAAATACGCGAAAAGCAAGAGACCCTTTAATTAAAAAAAGCGGAAATCAAGTGTGAATTTTTTTAAATATCCAGCGAACAAGCGGCGAGAACAATCCACAAACTTACAGAAGAAATCGTCTAGGTGTTTATATAGCAAAAGAATGTTAAATAGAATAGATGTAACACCAAATTCTCAACTGTATAGCAGCTAGAAAGGAGAATTCAATATTTGACAGTAGCTTACGCCTTACTGCGTGGTCGACGACCTCCACTCAACATGATCAACATAAATCTTGAATAATTCATCTCTAATAAGTTAGGGTAAAAGTCCTTTTTTGAGTACATTTAGGAGGCGACTGGAAGCTAGTCGGTCTCTATTTCCTTACATGTTAGTTTATCATTCTGACTGGTTCCTGTGCAGTGTACAGTCATTGTTTTTGGACTTCTCCCATGTTCTCTGTGGACCTTCAAGAGGTTACCGTCCGCTTCTCCGGGCTTGAGTCGTAGGTCTTTACGTAAAAATGATTGTATACAGCAAGGTAGAATTTCACTCCCCTAAAAGACAAAAAACTAACTGTCGTGAAACTTATTAGCTCCCATAGGGTTTTGTTTCTGTTTTGTTTGTACAGAGTTCAAAGGACGTTTATGATTGACAGTTGATCACGAGGCTTTTAAAATAATTACTCATGTGCTTTCTGATTAAGCATAGTTGTGAATACGAGTCATCGAATAAACACGTTAAATAATTGTCTACGAGAATAATTATTCGACACTAACATTGAATTTGCTTTTAATAAACCTCTACTTTTCATGATCAGTTTCTTTTTATTCTTGATAATTCGAGAATTCAAACTCCCCTAATACATTCTTCTTAAATCTTGATTATGTTGCTACGCTCGCTGCGCAGCAATAAAAGAGAGCTTAAAGTGCACCTACACCCAAAACATTCTTTTCGCTTAACGAAGTAAGCTTATTTTTTTGAGTATTTCTGCGCAAAAAATTTTTTATTTGCTCAAATCTTCAATTTTCTATGCCCAGTCAAAATACGGAAAATCGGCCGCCATCTTGCCCCACGACCGAGTTTAAAGAGGAATGGCTCTAGTGGGTAATGTGACGTCAAATCGAGAACACGAAAGTCTGCATTTCACACATTTTTACTTGTTTGGGAAGGTTGTAGTCGATAATTGTCCGAAAATATGCCGACTAAGTGTGTTGTAGAAGGATGTAGCAACGTGCGAAATTTGCAAGAGGGTATC